AATATAATTGTAAGGTAAAGTATTAATCCAACAACAAACACAATAATGACAATTAAGTGATTAACATTGAATAATACAAACTTGAATTAAATGAATATATTATTGGATATAAAGCTTATAATCGGACGACGAATTGTTGCGTGGTCCAAGGAAATCAATGGTCCGCTTCCATGATTCATTTATATGGAATTTTTTTATCATTAGAATAACTTATATAGTTGAATGAGACATTGGGGATAAGAGGCGAACACTAATGGTGCTGGGTTTAGACATCATAGATACTATGCAAAAGAAGTAGATCTCTCTGCTGGAGAGCTATCAAAGAACCACACTAATGGCTTATATGGTTGAATGAGACCTTGGGGAGAAGAGGCGAACGTTAATGATGTTGGGTTGAACATCATAGAGATTGAACAAAATAAGTAGATCTCCCTATTGGAGAGCTATTTTAGGACCACATGCTTTATGTGCGCAAGTCTTAAATAGTCCTCAATCGTTTGTTAATTTGGAGAGCTATTACGAGATTGACGTATCATTTTTATAGTCAGTCCTAAATTAAGAAGAAAGCACTTGATTGATTTATGTATTTACTTCTTCTCCCACACCGTTCAACGCTCATTTTCAATTATACAATTTTTTTTAAAAATAAAAAATAATTTTTAATGTTTCCTCATAATTGTTTCATACTTTTAGTCACACACTCATCAAATAAATTCATTCTAAAAAATCTTTACTAAATATATTTTAATGCTGAATATATTATAATTAAGAAATAAGAACTACGTGTGTTGTCCATAGAGACTCACTTCATAATGCCATGTTCTATCCCATTTGGCAACTGACTAATCAACTACTCAAGAGAAATTTGCTCATCTTCGTAAGGCAACTTTACGTAATATTTTGCACGAATTAACGAATAAAAAATTATGGTTATTGTTCTTCTTGTCGTCATCGTCTCTTCTCATTTTAATCGAAAAGTTTACTTACTTTCGAGCAAGTAAAATCAGGTAATTGATGATCAAAATAAACAATATTCACGGGAGACTTGTCCATCATTTATAATCCATTCTCCACGAGTACATAAACTCGGCAAGTCTAGGTATTGGATTTCAATCTTAGTACATCAGTAAGTAATAATTTTGAACCGTGCTACATGAACACCTCGGTTGACACTTTGGATGACCTAACACATACACACACATCGGAGGTTTTGACATTATTTTATTCACGTTGGACTCGCGCGCAATGTGATGGTCAGTCACCCGAGGTGTCAACCATTTTCGGGTAAAGTGACTTTACTTAATAATTTTTACAATAAAGCTGTTTGTACAGCTCTCACATAATGTGGGTCCCACGATCGCTAGCCCCACCCTCCATGTGAGAGGGCTATAAGGTATGCTGTACAAAAATGCTATACATGTACCAAGTTTGTAATTTTTATGCACAAACTGCAAGCCTACTATGAGGGCCTCTAGTGCTAGGTTTGTGCTTGGGTATTTTTGCATGTCGGAAAATTTCACACATTTGGACCATTTTGACGTCAACTATTAACTTAAGTATATCAAACATAGTGTTACTGTCTACTAACTACATAACGAGTATTAATTTTCTCATTTTCTTGTTCAAAGCACTGAAACTTACCAAAAACAGAGGCTTCTTTACAACACAGATTGTGCACCAACTTTTCTTTTTGTGCCCGTGAACGGCTACCAAGGGAAAAAGACAAAAAGGGAATGTCATACTGAACGCACAAAATCTCGAAGAATAGTATGAAGCCACCCAATAAATTACAAGCCAAAAGATTCCTTACCACATTATTCTTTTAGGAAGGCAGATACCAAAATTAGAGTCTCCCTTTTAAATATTGAGCCTTTGGTTGGGGCATTTAATAATAATGGATCGTGGACAAGAAACCATGATTAACTTGAATTATTGGAGCTTGAATTATATGAGTAGTTAGATCCCTTGAATAAGAGAGTAACAAATAGAAATCAATAGTATAAACCTGGATGCTCATTACAGTGTGAACTTCTATAGATACAAGAAAACCCTAATAGAAAACTCACATATCTGTAATTTCTCGAAATTTATTAAAAAAATCTATGCAACATATATTGATACATCTAACAAATGAAATGTTAACAAATAGAAATTGTAGAATTGGAACAAAACCTGGAAACCGGGCATTACGGGAGTCACAAAACCCCCATTCGACAAGAAAAACCAGGACTAGATGGGAAAAAAAAGAAAAAAAGAAAAAGAAAAAAAGGGGGGAATTGACATTTTAAATCTGGAGGAGTCTTTCGAGGGATTCAAAGAATAGAGGGGCCATTTCTGGGCTTGGAGTCTTGATTGCACACTTGAGACCAGGGATTCCAATAACTGCCGTAAGTTCAATTAAGAAAGGGATTCCTTGAGGAACTTGAGCTGAAAGATACAATACCTCCTGATTCGCGTGCTTGCGCTTGGCAATAAAGAACATGTTGGAAGAAGCCAGCCTTTCTAAGGTTGCATCTATGCTGTTTATCACGATCCCGGGCAAGTCTATTGAAACCTCGTTTGAATCAGGTAAAGACTTCCATGTCTGCGATGTTGATTGTGAAGTCGTCAATTTCCACAAATAATTAACAAACATATCAGACATTTTAATGGAAAATTCTTGCGAGTCGATGAAATAAAAAATTTACCTCAAGAAAAGAAGAACGCTCCATTCTTCCTTCCTCAGTAAAGAAGACCAGCAACGAAATGTTGTCATTGAAGTACCATACAGGTTGCTGATTATTTTTCACAGCCACCTGCAGAAGTGCGTTTGGAGGACCTGGAGATATATTTTGGAACAAAACCATAGGCAGAAGAGTGCTCGCAGATGTTTGAGGTTGCAGTGGAGGAACCTGGTTGAAAAGATATCATCAACCAAGGAAAGAAGAAAGCCAAAAAAAAATAAAATATATCACTCTTGACCAGTAGTAAAAATTACCTGGAGCGGTCCAGCTGCAGCAAGGCCAAATGTATTCTTGTTGAACTGAATCATAAACCCATCAAGGGGAATCAGGGAATTGTTTTCAAATAACATACTGTAAAATATCTGCCCATCTCTTCGTACAAGTTGTGCACTGATTTGTAGACCTTGACCAGTAGATGCCGGTAATAGAACAGGCAAAGGAGGTCTGCAATCAAAGTGAGAACTATATCAGCGTTTCAGTGAAGCACAACCTAAAGGAATTCAAAACCTACGAATATCCCCCAAAAAAGCAGGATTCTATTGCAATTTCCAAATGACAATTGGTATGTATTCAAGTAACCTCTTTTTACAAGTTGGAAATGTATTCCACCAATTAGATCGGAATCCAAAAATACATACCCAGCATGGGTTGCAGGCTGATCCGCAGATACAATAGCATTGTTGTTATTATCCATTCCCATAAGGTCCAGTAAATCTGGCACGGGTGCAGGAGCCGAAGGCACAGCTGGTGCAGCAGTTGGCTGTCTTGCAGCAGCATACTGAGCACTACTTGTGGTAGTTGGTGGCGATGCACCAGCTGCGTGGGAAGGCGATTCGGAATATCCTCGTTCACTTCCCTCTGGAAAATCTTCTTCCTCAATTCTCTGGATGGTCTTCACACGGGTTACAAATGCATCTGGGGGCTTGTGATAGACAGAGGATAATGTAGCAATGTTGGCAAGTAGCTCGTCTAGTAGAGAAGGATCAAGTTGATTTGAATCGTCACTGATCACCGGCTTTTCAGCTAAGACAACATCCTTGGCCGACTGAGAGTAAAAGAATACCCCATATAAACATATTAAGAATAAAGTATGCATAAATTATGCTGTTCCTTTATGGCTAACCCCGCCCCCTCAAATAGGCACAATCGGCAGATGACAGCATCCATAACACAGTGACATGCAAGCTAATTACTGAAAAATATCCCATTCCTTCAATGCTAAAATTGAAGGTTTTGGAGTGAAAAATCTTTACAAAACAGAAGGACGAACTTAGATAGAATTCAGCGATATAAACTTGTCTGACACGTCACGAGATAAGTATCATTATTTCAAACACCAGACCACGGAAAGGGGGGAGAACACTGAAGCCTAATATGCTGAAGGAGGTAAAACAATAACATTTTGATAATGCAAAGCTCTAATATTTATTTTTTCAAATCCCAAATGAATACAAAATGGAAACAAAGTATTAAAGCAAATAAAGCAATTAAATACCTCAGGATCAGTCGAGAGAAGACGCCAATATATGTATGCACGGTCTCGCAAATCAGGGTTGTCAGTCTCCACGGTGGCGTTATTCAAAACTACCTATGCATATGATAATGTACAGTGAAAATCCAGTAGAGCATATATACAAAAAAGAAAAAACCAAGCCAAAAAAATAAAAAAAATCCCAGGTCTCAAAGACATTGGTTCACCGTAAAGCATAACGTCAAAGTTGCCAGAAGCTTTAATATTCTAATATAAAATGCTCACACGCGAATATATTAAAACATTAGAGACAACAGGACATTTACTTATTTTCCCTAATTATCATATTTCCTTATATGGATTTCTTTTGTTTCTAAGCAGAGTAAAGAAACTAAATACAAGTCATCGTCACCGGTGTTTAATTTAAAGGTAGGAAGGAAAGATAAAGGAAGAGAATGTCAAAAGGAGCAATGGGAAGAGAATAACATTTTATAAATTTTCCCTCTATTTTCTTCCTTCTGGTGAAAACCAGCTTTAACTAGATTACTTCGCACTTTCTTCCTCCCACAAACAACCTTTAGTAATGTATTGGTTACTTCTCTCTGCAGCATTTTGCAGAATTATTATCTCTGGGTATTGATGGAAGCCATTCAAAATACTGCATTTATATAGTTTTAAGATGAGAAAAAATAAACCACATTAGACACCATGACCTATGTGTAAATGTCCGGGAAGTTAATGCTAACCCCGGAATCGAAAGCTTTTTATCAACAATTCAACCAAAAACACCAAGCAGACAAGGCATTGAATGTAAATGTTAGCAATCAACAGTGTAGCAGTACTTAGCCTCTGTTTGGGTTTCATTTTATTTTGTTAAAATTCTACTTTTCAAGAAATGAGTAGTTGATGAGTGAGTAGTACTTGTGGGTCCTATGAAAT